CCGGTTTGTCAACAGAGCGGAGCAGAGGTGTAATTACGGGCTGCAGCTCCATCAGGTAACAAACACTGAGGCGGATCTGATCAGCTGGAGGCCTCTCTGGTTTCTCTGGGCTTTATTGTTCATGGAGATGTTTTTGGATCTGCAGGGATGAATAATTGCCACTAATCCCAGCAGCGTTGTGTTTCTGAGCTGATGTTGTTTTAGAGCTGAAGGATTCCAGAATGATCCGTCCAGATTCGGAGGACCGACCAGGCATGTTGTGAAAGAAACAAAAATGCTCTCTGGCCTGTTTCACTTCTCCCTCTGGCACAAACAAAGGAGGGGGCAGAGCCTCACATTCCCATCGCTTCATCTGCAGGATGAGAGTCCAGTTTAACTTCATGCATCAAAAAACATTCAATTTTTAATGTCTTGCATTTTGTAAACTTCTTTATTTGCTTCAGAAGAAACAATGAAGAACTGAAAAGTGTGTCTACATGCTTCAGATCCCAATCAGAGCACAGATGAACCTGTTCTGACCTGAAGGACCTGAGGGAGGTCAGAGACTCCAGGTTCACAGAGAAAACATGCAGAAAGTTCAGGTTTAAACTTTACAGCAGAGAGTCAGAGTGAACTGGCCGAGGTTCACTGGGATGCAGATCGCTTCAGTTCATTACATGATTTTCTGGCTCATCTCAGGCTGTTCAGAGACAGAGATGATCAATATTTAGACAAGGTGGATCTGCAGAGCGACACCTGAAACCTGGGCTCAGTCAAACAGAAGAGTACTGTGTACCTAATAAAGTGGCCACTGGCGGTGAATCTCCAGGATTTCTGAATATCTTTCAAGTATTTCTTTGTTCACGACTTTTTCCCATTTCTTTCATTGAATCTGATCAAAAGTCCCAAAAATAAATCTGGACTTTATCTCCATCCGACGATCAGAGGAAGCATGAAGCTTCTGTGAGGTTCAGATTAAACAGACAAACTGAGCAGCTGTTCCAGAAAACTCACGGGCTCCACCTTAAACTTGTTCTACACTAAATTGTTTTTATGGGTCGATATGACTCTAGATGTTGTATTTATTTGTTTGGAGAAGAAAAGAGATTTTATTAGTTTCTTTTAGACAGAATTCAACAGTGGACACCACTAAAAAGGTAGCTGTGCTAACTCTAAAGCACTCATCAGAGACATTAGTTCTGCTAATGCTGAAGCACTAATGTAAATGTTTGTTCCGCTAAAGTGCTACCTGTAAATATTCGTTGTGCTAATGATAAAATGCCGATCGGTAGAAAGATTTAGTCTTTAGCTAAAGACCAGGAGCCATTTCTCCTGCGATCGCTAGGATAGCACGTTTGTTTTGGTTGTTTTTACCCAGAATGCCCTGCGCTATAGTCCACTTCTTGGTTTGGTCTCCGGTCTGCTTGGAGTTCACATATGCATTCAAACCGAACCAGAGTTCACCCAGACCGAGGTTTGGAGGACCAGAGGTCAGAGGTCATTTAGCATTCACACCTCATCAGCCGAACCAGACTTTCTATAGAATTTGGTTTAAAGTGGATTAAAAAACACACCTTTATGTTTTTTGACCTGCCAGATTTTACAGGAACTCTCCAGTTCAGATCTGGAAAACCAGATTATCTCTAAAGATTCTACTGGACCGAACCGAGCTGATTCTGGTTGCTTAATTCGGATTTTCAGAATAAAAGCTGGGGTTGTCCTCTCTGGGTGCTGTCTCATGCCGTGAGGGAGCAGAACTGGCATAAGCGGGTATTTTGGGCGCAGCGGTAACAATGGGCTGAGGTGAGTCTTTGTGATGTATTCAGGGCCCAAACAGAGCAGAGAGCCGCTGGAACGGAACCAGATTAGTGGGTCGGTGTGTCAGCCCGCCGGGCTCAGCTGGCTGTCATCAGCGGTCAGACGGCTGCTCTGTTATTTTCAGCAGCAGGTATGTCTGCCTCCTTTTGCTGCACAACAAGCTGTGTTTACCTGGGCTAATTTTATCCCGGATGGATAAAAATATGAATGACTGTCCCGCTGCGGCCTCGCGCTGCCGGGGCGAGGATAAAGCAGCGATGCTGGAGGATTTTCAGCTATTCTTCACGAGATAGCCGAGCTTTTTACAGCTAATGCTAACGGCGTTTTGTCAGAGTAGGTAAATAATCTGCTGTTTCCTCGGAGCGGTGCTGGTTCTGATGGTTCTGAAACTGCGGCGCTGCGGTCTTTAAGACTTTGATCTGCTTCACAACAATAAACATCAAAGGTCACCGTCTGAGGCCGCCGGTCCCAACATGACGGAGAGTCTTCCAGGGACACAGACAGCAAACACCTGACAGCTGGTCCGGATCGATACCAGCTGCAGCTGGTCCGGCAGTGCGCCAGCTGGGCCGGGTCAAACCATCTCTACATCTTCTAGTAGAGATGTTTGGGTCCAGATTACAGCTTCTGGCCAATTGTCCAGGGCCGGTCCAAACCTTTCTGGGTCCCTAAGCTGATTTTCATCTCGGGGGTACCGTACCGACACCAGATGCTTCATCCTTCCTAAGCTAACGCTCATTAGCATCATTGTAATTAGCTTACATCACATCAGTGTTATTATGGTTATTTTAACCTAAGAGGAGAAACAAACTAAAAAAAATAGATTTTGATATGCAGAATTGGTGGTGTTGAAATGTGCTGTATTTTTTTAACTATTTGAAAGTAACATCAGCTGATAAACACTGAACTTACAGCAAACAACTTTGATATGTCATAATTCCCCACCAGCAGCCATCAACAAATTAAACATTATTCATGTAACTATAAAGACAATATAGAAAGTTTTTCCATGAGTAATGGCATTTAGTTGGTATTATCCAATGTTATTTTAAACATACTTTCATCACGCCATCTTTCTGCTCTTGGAGCCCCCTGGTGGCACGGCGGCCTCAAGCAGCCACTTAACTACCTGACTTTGAAGTGCCAGAAGGGCAAACATGTTCATAACGATTTAAAACAGGTCAAGAATTTATTCTAAAAAGTATAGTCCAGTATATATAGGTGGACAATATGGCTGAGAAACACAATAATTTATCAGTTTTTTTTGCTGTAAATACTTGAGATACTGTCAAACTAGTGATTGCAACCATTCATTGAATTATGGCACCTTTTGACAATCATATTTTCCAAAAATTAACTGTTTCTTTACTTTTCTCAATGAAAACTATTTTATTTAAGTTTGACAAACATTTCGGACGTTCATGAAGTGAAAAAGTTGAAAGAATCCGTTGTTCTGTCTGCTGTGTTTAGATGCTGAGCAGCTTCTCCAGGATGGAGGCTCCGGCCGTGGCGCTGGTGAAAATCGTCCCGACAAAGACGTGCGTCCCCCAGAGCGAATGACGAACGGCCCGGCAGCAGCCCAGGTCCTCGATGCGGAAGCCCAGTTGGGCGTAGCGCTCATCCGTCTCAAACAGCGTGTTGTTGGTGTAGGAGCCGAAGAAGGCCAGGCCGGAGGTCGGGTCGATGAAGTCAGCCCAGAAGCCGTCGGCCTGCAGGGCCCCGCAGATCTCCCGCGCACCGTGGATGAACGTCTCCAGCTTCTCCTCCCGCTCGCGCTCCACTGCGTCGCTCCATGACGTCATGTCGCTCCGGGTCTTCTGGGTCACCGTGATGACCGTCATGTCGGACTCCGGAGCCTCCGGGAACATGGACAGGAAGTCTCTTCTTAATGCTTTCGGGCAGGACAGGATGGCACACTCCACCCTGGAGTCGGAACCGGGAGGTTCGGACGGAAGAACTTCATCAGTTACCTGGAAACCCGAGAGCCCGTTTCTCCTGCTATGCTCTCCTTCTCCCACCAAGGGGCGCTGCAGGCCCGCTGGATCACACAGGTAAATGTGACGGTCCGGACCGGCCGGGTTCTGGTCGGACCCAGCTGTTCTGGTTCGGACCAGATCATAGTTCTTTACGGAGCAGGCAGCAGCTGCAGAGACCGGTCTGCTAGCAGCCATGCTATGGACCAACACATTGATCCCGGATAGGTATCGGACCAGTCTGGTTCTGCCGGACAGAACCGGACTCAAACAGGCCATTTTACCGAAACTCTGCCCGCAGACGAATCCCTGTTTTCTTCAGCTTTTTCAACACAGAAACACAGAATCTCGTTGTGTCCTTGTAAACTCTCCTATCGTGTAAACATTCTTCAGCACATGCGCATTTCCCACCTACCGCTTCTTCACTTCAGCTATTTTCACACGGTTTTATCGCCCCCTGGTGGTGTGGGGAATAAATTCCGTGTTTATCATTTTCTTAATTTCTTTTAACCATATTCCAAAACAATAGAAATACATTACTTGTCCAGTTTCTCTTAAAACCGAAGAAATTAATTGAAAAGTAGTAAAAGCGGTTTTAAAAACCAAAGACTTTCTTCAACACTGAAAAACATGCACTTCATGTAATTTGTAAATCAAAACAGTTGAACATCAATTTTACTCTTGCAATATATCTAAAAAAATTTGCATAACCTAGAAAAAAAGTAATTTGCTTTTCAGACTATTAGATTTGGTTTTTACTCTGAAAATAAAGAATAATTTGATAATACTGCTAAAATTTTTATTCTTAAATGTTGTTTTTAAAAGTCTTATTTGAAAGTGCACTAAATCTGTATAATTTTACCGAAGCTCATATTATATGTATCAGCTCCTCACGTGTTGCATTTATGTTTGAAAATAATGTGAACATTTTGCTCCTATTCCTATTTTTGGAAATTATTTTTGTTGGAATTGTAATCTTTCTGTTGAATTTTCATTATATAACTTAAAAAATTAATTTAGTAAATGTAACAAGATATTACAGCGGAATACATCAAAATGTGATCATAATCATGTAAATAGCACACATTAAGTAAAACATGTAAGGGATTTAAATAAATTAACAGTATATAATGGCTGGATAAACTACACAGCACGATTTTTCTTGTTTGTTGCCTGTCGCAATATGGCGGCGACGTAGACGTGCGATTCCGACGTTTCATCGTTCATGAACCGGAAACTGTCTCTTAGGGTCAAACCCTAAACCCGGCGATGAACCTGCTAGCTCTCCTAGCTAGCTCCGCCAAACAGCTTGTTTTAGTTTAGTTTTAGACAAAATGTCTCAAACAAACTCCGGCAGCAGCGATAATGTGAGCAAATATTCAGCGCTGAAGGAGGAACTGAACAGAAAGGTTCGTAAAAAACCCAGTTTCTATCAGCTAACACGCTAATATAGAGGAGGATAAGCAGCTTTCACATGTTTTAGATGAATATTATGACTTTTATACAAGCTGTTATCAGCTGTGTGTTTTTAGTTTGCTTATTTGAATTTGTTTTTATCTTTTAGGTGAAGGAGCAGAAGATTATTGTGGACGAGCTTTCTAATCTGAAGAAAAACAGGGTGAGCAGTTTTTAACACACCCTGACTTTACATACATCAGCATTTCTCTAATTATTCAGGTAAAAGCGGAATGAAACCGATCCATGTGGGTTAGCATGAAATGTAGTTCCACCAATCACAACCTGGCTTTGAAATTCAGTTCAGTTTAAATTACAGTGGTAGGTCTCGATTAAAATATTTAATCGAGTTAATTGCAGAAAAAATTCGGCAAACAAACATTTTCAAATCCAGAATCCTTTTTGCTGCTAACTCAATGAATGAACAGACATGAGCTCAACAAAATATTAATGTTTTTTAATCTGTTATTCGGGTTCCTATCAAACGGCTGTTCTAGCCATTCAGTTTGTCTGGACTGGATTGTTTAAAATGACAAAATCCGTTTTCTTGTTGACTTTGATGGATGTTTGTGTTTGTTTCCTGTAGAAAGTTTACATCCAGCAGAGGAACAGCAACGTTTTCTTCCTGGCCGACAGAAGTCAGACTCTGAGTTCCTGTAAAAGTAAGTCGTTCTTTTCCGGGTCGTAACTTCTGACCCTGATGGATTCGTTCTGATGCCGGTCCGTTCTGTCTGCAGAGCAGTTGGACTACATGAAGAAGGAGCAGCAGGACCTTTGAGGTCATCACCATGTGCGGGATCTTCTGCCTGCTGAGCCGGTCCGCGGCTCCGGAGGAACGGGACCAGGCGGTCCTGGAACCTCTGCAGAGGAGAGGACCGGACTCCAGCCGGGACGTCTCAGTTACAGGAACAGACTCCGGTTATCGGTGCCTGCTCTCCGCCCATGTTCTCCACATGCGGGGCCTCCTCACGCCGCAGCCGCTGCAGGACGCCGCCAGGAACGTCCTGCTGTGGAACGGGGAGATCTTTGGAGGCCTTCCAGTGGATCCAGACCAGAACGACACCACCGTCCTCTCTCAGCGGCTGCAGTCCTGTGGAACCGCCGCTGAGATCCTGTCGGTCCTGTCAGCGGTCCGCGGGCCCTGGGCCTTCGTTTACCACCAGAGGGCGGCAGAGTGCCTCTGGTTCGGCCGGGACTTCTTCGGCAGGCGGAGCTTGCTGTGGAGTTTCGCGGCGGGAACAATGACCCTGACCTCAGTGGCGGCGCACAGTCCGGCCTCCGACCCGCGGAGCTGGCACGAAGTCCCGGCCGCCGGCGTGTTCAGGGTCGACCTGAAGGAGTTTGCTCGATCCGGTTCTGTTTCATTGGAGATTTTTCCCTGGGATCATCCCGATATTCCCTCCACCAGCCCAGAATCCCTTCCCGTCTACTGCCTGGCGGTGATGAACCCGGCTGGGCTCGTTCTGTCCGCCCCAGTTCCTCCTCTGAACGAGTCACTTCCAGCCTCCAGCCCTGACCCGCTAACCGAGTCCCGGCTGTCGGGCCGGGAGCTGGAGGAGCTGCTGGCAGGAAGCACGCGCCCGGATGAGGCGAAACGTCTGATCCGAGTCCTGAGCGAGGCGGTGCGGAGACGAGTTCAGGCTCCGCCTCCTCTGGCCGGTTCCGCCAGCGTTGCTGTTCTTTTCTCCGGAGGAATCGACTCCATGATCCTGGCTGCTCTGGCCGACCGCCATGTTCCCGCTCAGCATCCCATCGACCTGCTGAACGTCGCCTTCAGACTCCAGGAGCCAAAGAACCACAACAAGAAGCGGAACAAGGATTCCCCGAGCAGCGACCTGACTGCTCGCCGAACCTTCAGCCCCTTTGACGTTCCAGACCGACTGACGGGAAGGGCCAGTCTGGAGGAACTGCGCGGCCTGAATCCTGAGCGGCGCTGGAACTTCGTAGAGATCAACGTGACGCCGGAGGAGCTGCAGGAGGCACGGCGGCAGCGGATCCGGCACCTGGTGCTTCCGCTGGACTCGGTGCTGGATGACAGCATCGGCTGCGCTGTCTGGTTCGCTGCCAGGGGCGCAGGGAACGTCATGGAGGACGGCGGGCCCAGACCCTTCACCTCCTCAGCCAAGGTGACCTTTCACCTTCTGTAGCTGAGAACGATGTCCTGTTTTCTTCAAGGTTCAACCTGCAGATCCAGATTTTTGTTCCTTATTCTTCAGATTTAAGAATAACATTAGACTGATTAGGTTTTATGGTTTATTGTTGATTAGTTTATTCTTTGATTAATCATCTAAATCATCACATTCTAGCCAATCAGAGAAAGCGTTAATCAGCAGGTGATACACTGAGGGGCCCGGTCATTGGCCCCGCACCCCGGCCCGACGCTGACTTGTTCCGCTAGTGTGTTTGTTAGTTAATTAAATCTGCTGTGTGACGTTTGCGTTCTTCTTCTGCGCATGCGTGAAAACCGTTCACAGTGAGCGGTAATTTAACGAGCCACGCGGTAAAAATGTGATTCCGGCTGATCCTTCGCCGTTTCTGCGCCGCCCGGCAGGTGGTCCTGACCGGGATCGGAGCGGATGAGCAGCTGGCCGGTTACTCCCGCCACAGAGTCCGGTTCCAGACGGCGGGACTCCGGGGACTGCTGGAGGAGCTGAGCATGGAGCTGGGCCGGATCTCCTCCAGGAACCTGGGCCGCGACGACCGAGTGGTGGGAGACCACGGGAAGGAGGCCAGGTAGGCGGAGCCAGAAGACCGGAAATAACTTTTATAAAAATGGTGGAAATATTAAGATTTAACGAAAAAATACGGATTTTTCTTTTTGTTATGAAATGAAGCTGAAATGTTGAGGTTTATGCAGGCAAACATCGCTGATGCTGCAGGTTGAAGATTCCAGACCAGTTTAGTTTGAGAAGAAAAACAATTCAGGGTTTTGATCAGCTGATCAAACGGAACCAAACAGAGCAGCTAAAGATTATTTTAGAAATCAATAAATCTGACAATCATCAAATTACTCTGATTAATCGATTAATCTGGTGATTAACCTCTCATTTTGATGATTGATCAGTCTGAAGACTAATCAGATAAAAAGATGGTCAGTGTTTTTAATTTAACAACCTTTTTGTATGCAATATTAGAAACATGTTAAAATATGCAATTATTAAATTATATGGCAAAAGGTGAAAATATTCCAGACTGAGTATTAGAAATATTTCAAAAAAAAAAAACTTTATTTCAAACTCATTTTAATGACACATTGCTGTCAGTTTTTAGACTTTTTTCCTCATAATTTTATAAAAAGTGAAAAGTATTTTTTGTTTTTTTTCCATTTCATCATGCAGAACAAAAACTAGCAAGTTTTTTTTAATTAAAAAAAAACATTTAGTTTTTTTATTGAGACTTTTTCTGAAAATAATAATAAAAAAGTAGATTTTTAAAATCCTTTTATTGGTAAATTTTCATCCATTTGATGACAGACGAACATTGGCAGATTAAACCGTGACAGTCAGAATGGGAGCGAAAGGAAATAAATGTTTTTACTTAAATCTGATTAATTTATTCTGCTGCTCAGGATGAAACGGGTGTGACTGGTTCTGATCCGACCCGCTGCATTGTTTGCATGTTGTTTCCGTCCTGTTTGTCACTGCAGGTTTCCGTACCTGGACGAGGACGTGGTCAGCTACCTGAGCTCGCTGCCCGTCTGGCTGAAGGCCGACCTGTCTCTGCCGCGCGGCGTCGGCGAGAAGCTCCTCCTGCGGTCGGCGGCCACGCAGCTGGGCCTGGGCCGATCGGCCGTCCTGCCCAAGCGGGCCATGCAGTTCGGCTCGCGCGTGGCCAAGATGGAGGACCGGCGGGAGAAGGCGTCCGATAAATGCAGGAGGCTCCTGACCGGATGATTGACAGCCTCTGGTTTCCTGTTTGAATCATTCTAAAATCATTTCCTATTAAAAGTTGGTTCCTTTAAACCATGAACGATTTGTTGTCCTGAAGCTTCTCGCTGAAGTAAACGTCACACTCCAGGTAAGACGGCAGGTTTCCCACGTCAAAGCGTCCGGAGATCTCATGGGTGAAAACCGGCTTCCTGATGAAGTTAGAAACGAGTTTCAAAGTTAGAAATAATTTTCTGCTTGCTGGATGGACTCTGAGCGGCTGAAGAAGCGTTTCCTGTTACCTCGGGATGAGCCACGACACAAAGTTCCCCGGAGCGTCGCGCTCTTCGATCGGAGCGTCCTGATGACAGAAAGTTTCTCAGTGAGAATCTGAACGTCTGGAAACTAAAACTCGCCGTTCAGGTTAAATTTGACCTTCTTCTCCTCCAGGAAGGCGTCCAGCAGAGGAAGACTCTCCTTGGAGAACACGTAGAAACACGGACACTGGGAAATGTCAGAACATGAAATACTTTTAATATTCACAGGTCAAAAACTATGAGACAGTGGTGGGAATACTTTGCTAATGCGCTAATAGTGGAGCTAATTTTAGCGTTAGTGTTCTTGCTAGCACGGGACTAAAATGTTAAATGTACTACGGTGTTTATCACCCGACAGCGCTGGCTTTTGCTAAATAAGATGTTAGCATAGCGTTTTACCACAAAATAACATGTTGCTGCAGGTCTTTAGCGTTAGCTTCCACTGAATATCATAATGTTGTGAAATAGTACCAGCTAAATACTGTTCTTATAGCATGTTAGTATTAGTTTCCACTAAACACCATGTTGATTTAGTGCTTTAGCATTAGCTTTTCCTAATTAGCATAATGGAATTGTGATTTAGAATTAGCTTCTGCTAAATCCAGTGTTGGTATAACTATTGTGATGACACTGACTGTTGTGGTTAGCGTAGCTAGCATGTAGCTAGCATCGGGCGCCCTGATGGACTCACGGCTCTCCTGGACTTGGTCTCTGAAGGCCGCGGCTTCTCCTTCATCCGGAGAACCCGGAGATCATCATCCACCTCCAGGATCCCGTACTTCTGGGTTTCTGCAGAGCAGCAGGAGAACGTTCGTCCTTCCACTAACTGCAGCGATGATGATGATGATCTCACCTTCGTCCCTGCAGCGGTAGCACAGCAGCAGGCAGCTGTCGGCGCTCTTTGCCTGCAGCTCAGAAACCTTCTGTGCGACCCGGCCCAGACTGAAGTCCTCCCTGAACAGCGTGTCGCTGCAGAAACATCAGAACCGGCATCAAGTCCCTGAAACCCGCTACGGGTCCAGACCAACCAGAACCTCACCCTCCAATGACCATCACGCCGTCCTGGATGCCGAAGTGCTTCACCACCAGCTGCAGGCAGGCGACGGCGCCGAGCCGCTCCTGGGACGAACAGACCACGTTAATGTGGATCGGATCAGAACCAGGCAGGTTCTAATGGGTTTTTATCGGTTTACTTCGTTGCTTCGCGTCTCATCGCTGAGAATCTGCACTTCTGGAAACTCTGTGGCCCAAACGGTGAATGCAGCCTGGTGGAGAGCGTTGGTCTGAGGAAGAGCAGAACCAGAACCAGGCGGTCCAATTTAAAACCCACCAGAGTTCTGGTTACAAACCACCTGACGTTTAAATCTGGTTTCATTCGGACCCGTTTCACTCCAAACTGCATGTCAGGTTAATTTCTGTCAAAATTATTCAGAATAAACCAAAACTAAATAATGGAAAGTTCTTAAAGCTACAGGCTCCCGTTTCTATAGTTAGTCAAAAATGTAACTATAATTTTGGTTATTTAGCCTGTCAGGAAAAAACTGAGGTCCATCTTCCAAATTCATATTTTCACCATTTTGTTCATTTTTAAAATGTCAGAAACTAAACATAGTTAGTAAGCTCAACATTTAGCTTACCAACTATACATTGGAGTTTAATATTTAGGCTAAATATTTAGCTTGAGGGTTGAAGCTAGTTGCTGGTTAAATCTTGGGGTGGAGATTTCCTCCTGAGGTGAATTTGTGAACAAATCCCAGTTAAAGTACAAGGAAAAATTTCAATTTTTAGGTGTGAGCTAGCTTAGCACAGCAATTAAACAAGGAGTATTTTTTTTTATCTGTTATAAACTAAATGTTGCAATTCCTTTAGATTGTAGCTTAAAATGTTGTTTAGAAGTTGAAAAATATTTTATCTGTTCTGAAATGACCGAATCACATTTAATAGCATTCTCACTCAATAAAAAATTCAAGCATTAATGAGACCCGTAACAGGGGCCTAAGCAGAAGCCCTTAGCTTGCGTATGTCTTGAACAGGTGTTATGCCCAGAAACGC